GAGTCTACAGTCAATGACGTCATAGGTATCTAAGTGCAAAGAGTGAGTCTACAGTCAATGACCTCACGAGGTAGTTCACAGTCAAGGGGTGAGTACACAGTCACTGACGTCACAAAATTTATGTGACTTATCTTATGGGTGTTAACGGTTACACCCACAATGTATATGACGTTCCATATTTTAGCTGATAACAATCACTATGACTTTCTATATTATGGGCGTTAACGGTTACACCCACAATATATATCACGTCCCATATTTTAACTGATAACAACCAGTAAACCGTTCTATATTATGGGCGTTAACGGTTACACCCCTGAGTGCGATACAGTATAAAATATGACAAGTCCTTGGATTTACATCATTTACAGTCACAGAACCACTGAACCATTCACGGTAAGCACCTGAATAATATCGGAAAATGAAACACAAAACACATGACGCCATTGATATAGGTTTTAATAAGAGATAAACCTTATGATATTATACGATATAAACATTTTTGTTAAAAAATCATTTATTGGTAAAAATCAGTGGACAACATAGCTAGGTTCCTCCGATTAAAATTAATTGCGTTTCAAAGATACTTGTATCAGACATTTGAAACAATAGCTGGTTCACAATGGTACACTATGATACATAATGGTAGTCTTTTTCAATAAAATACAACAAAACATAAAGGTATAATCAATTGAAATTAAAATTTATAACTTTAAAAAATCACAATGGTACACTATTTAAGACAATGGTAGTCTTTTTAATAAAAATACAAACAAATCATAGAGGTATAATCAATTGAAATTAAAATTTATAACTCTTTAAAAATGTTTAGCATAATCAATCAACATGGATGTCTGCAACAGGTCGACTCTTATGCTGTCAACCAACTCATTCATTTTCATAAATATTAAACAAAATATCTATAGGGATAATCAGTTTAACTTAGAATTTACTACAAGAGGACTCTCAAAAAGTCGAGCAACTCACTCGGTAATCCAATCCCTTTGAATTATAGAAAGAAAAGCAACTCTAACATGTATATGTTTCATACAATGTTTGCCAGAGTTAACTTTCTTGGCATTGTTCACAATGGTACACTATGATACACAATAATAGTCTTTTTCAATAAGAAAAAGAGGTATAATCAATTGAAATTAAAATTTATAACTCTTTAAAAAATCTTTAACATAATTAAGCAGCATGGATGTCTGCAACAGGTCGACTCTCATGCTGTCGACCAACTCATTCAGGGCATCCAATTCCCTATGAAGGGGGAAGGCACCGCCAACTACACGTTTTAAGAAATCCAAACTGGTCACAGGTGTAGTGTTAGACTGCCCGGGTGATTGGGTCAAGTAACCACCCTTTGCCGCGGCGGTGTTGAATTCGGGCGACTGGGGCGAGTACCCGGTAATTGTCGCGTTGGTGCTGCAATCCGGCGACTGGGGTGAGTACCCGGTAATTGTCGCGTTGGTGTTGAATTCGGGCGACTGGGGCGAGTACCCGGTAATTGTCGCGTTGGTGCTGCAATCCAGTGACTGGGACGGCGACTGGGGCGAGAACCCAGTACTAGTCGCGGCGGCGCTGCATTCCGGCGACTTGGGTAAGTACCGGGTAATTGTCGCTACTGCCTTGAGTCCCTCCGAGGTTAATGCGGTGCATTCCGGCGACTGGGGTGAGTACCGGGTAATTGTCGCTACTGCCTTGAGTCCCTCCGAGGTTAATGCGGTGCATTCCGGCGACTGGGGCGAGTACCCGGTAATTGTCGCGTTGGTGCTGCAATCCAGTGACTGGGGCGGCGACTGGGGCAAGAACCCAGTACTAGTCGCAGCGGCGCTGCATTCCGGAGACTGGGGCGAGTACCGGGTAATTGTCGCTACTGCCTTTAGTCCCTCTGAGGACCAACACCCGGGAGTTCCGTCTTCTCCTATCCTCTCCTCCAGTTTTTTAAATCTTAAAGGGTCCCTTTTTCTGAATACCAAAAAAAAAAAAACCGGAAAGATAACTACTAATTTTTTTTTCCAAAATTTAATAAAGTAATAACAGCTATTATTATATGCCACATTCAAAAGTTGGAAATTTATTTCGCTTGTATTATATGTATACTATGTACCATAGTATATCAATAAAAATTTAAAGAAAAATAATTGTAAAAATGAAAACACACACACACACACACCCTCACACACACACACACACACACGCACACACCCTCACACACACACACACACACACACACACACACACACAAATAGCCATATGTTACCTTAAGTTGGTGATTATGCTATCGTCATCCCTTCTCTTTTGTTGATCGTCATCTGTTCTCTTTTGTTGCTTTAGTCTTCTGCAGATAAATCAAATATTTACAAACTCACAATGCTACGTCAAGTCCTAGTTGAAATTTGAGGTAATGCATGTATAGTAAGTCTCAAAACGAAATGTTTGAATATGGTATAACATATAAACAATTATGTGTTAACATAATATTAAATAATTGTTAAAGAAATTCATAAAAATAAAACATACCTTTGATTTAAAATGTAGGAATCCTCCGTTTCGGATAAATGTCTTTTTCGAGAGATGGGTTGGCTCTGGGTGTTTTCTTCTTTAGGAGAATTTCTATATCAATATCAATGTTAGGTTTTATATTAAAAAAGTGGGGTTTTCTTATGTAATTATAGAAAATACATTTAACTTATTTCAAATAGTAATATATCTCTTATTTAAAAATATTGTAATTTTATTTTTGTATTATTTTTGTAGAATTTATACTCAATTTTCTTAGCATTCAACTTACCCTGGTTGAAATGCATTAAGGCAGAGTTCCTCTCCTAATGCCACCCATTCGTCCTCAAAATCCTTAAATGTTCTTGCCTTTTCCTGATCCCTTTTTTTTAAAAAAATAATATAACATTAACATTTTTAAAACCTAAATTAATGTTTAAAAAATATAACAAAATATATAAGGGGGTATTTATATAATATATTATCAAAGATGATCACAAAAGATTGGATTTTTTTAAAATTAAATTTGATTTAATGCTTTATTATTTTAACATTTAAGATACATATATTATTAGTTTTACAAAATTTTAAAATTGAAATAGGAAAAATACACTTACATCATGTCTAGATATTTCTGCGCCATTATGTTGGAGGAGGAGGAGGAGGAGGAGGATTGTCTTAAGTTTATAATGGTAATTATTCGACTGATGGTAGAGTGACGGAAACATCACGTATTTATAGGTGTTCGCTTTTGGGTGGGAATCTAAATCATGATTTTACAAAGGTCGATATGGGGGCTAAATGTCCCTTTTTGAGGGGTCAACATTGAGAAAGTCCTAAAAAGGTATTAACGTTCATGTCAAGTCAGCATGGTTGAAAATTGCGCCAAAACTGACATGCGTCTGTTGCGTAGCATTTATCCTTCTACGGATTGGCTTATTTTCTAAAACTTCTCAATGCAAAAATTTAACTAAAGACAACATAATTTTAATAAACTCTTGATCAATAACAATTAAAATTTATTTTAAAAAGACCCGAATAAATTCATTTATTTCCCAAATCACAATCCATCAATCGACAATTTCATATTATGATCGAGCGATGTTGTATTTAACTGGGGTTATTAAACCAGACAATATCTCAGATATATGTTGAAGCTCAGAAAAGGCATAAAAAGTCATTTAACATATAAATAAAGATTATTAATTTCAAAACGGAGAAATTGTAAGGAAATGTGATGTTGGTCTTGTAATGTCTATTATTACATTTTTTTGAAATGAATTTGAATTAATCTATTCTGCAATTAAATTAATCGTTGTTTCTCTATTTTTGTCTTTATGTTGTAAAATTTCATTTTAATATCCAGCAAGAAAATGCGCCAAAACTATCACGCGTCTCTTGTGTAACTCCCAAGGATACAAGTTTATCTATACCTGCATGAGTGTGTTAAAGAAAAAAAGTATGTCAATTTAGCCTTGGAAATTGCGCCCAAACTATCACGCGTCTCCACTGTAACTCTCAAGTTCATCAATACCCGAGTGTTCAGAAAAAAAAAGTTTGTCTAGTTTAGCCTTGAAAATTGCGCCAAACATAAATTAGTATTTATCCTTCTTCGAGTTGACTTATCTTCTAAAACCTTATTAATCTAATAATCAATTATTATTAACATACACACCATAACAATTTTGATCAACTCCCGATCAATCAAAATTAGAATTTATGTAAAAAAAGAGCTGAAAAAAGTACAGCCACTTTCAATATCACAATTCATCAATCGACGATTCCATATCACGATCGAGCGATGTTGTATGTATAACTGGAGTTCTTAAATTGGATTAAGTTTCAGATAAAATATTAGTTATAGTTATTCATCTTAAAGTTAAGAAATATAAAAAAGTTATTATTTATTTTAAAAGCTCACAATTTAATTCATTTCAATTTATTCACTCAAATCCATGTAAATGGTACATGACATATATAAACATATATAACATACATGTATACGTACGAAGGAGAAGGTAAGAGTATTGACCACGGAAAACAGCTCATACTTTTATTTTTATTAATAAATACACAGAATCTACATCATTTTGACACATGACTTCAAAATAAAACTTTATGGATTAGAAAAAAATTTTTTAGTTAAGAATTCTGAATTAGGTTGTAAAACATGACTTAGATAAGCTGATCCCTGACCTGTACCAAAAAAAAGGTTATCTATAAGGTTATAAACTGTGTCATTACCTTATCCCCCATCCCTCCCCTCCAAATAAACAAAACATTTTCTGTTGACAATTGTTTACCATACATCATTTATGTGATAGTTTCTAAACAGACACTCTTAAACAAAAAAATCATTAAAGTGATAAATGGTGTTATTCTATACGTCGGGGGGATGTTGACCGGGGTACTTCGCGCGCTTTTTTATCACGTGCACATATGACCAGTTCAAAGTGTGTAATTGCAAGATGGACGACAGAACGCTCGTAATCATTATGACATGTATTGTATCGGTGCAAAATGCACCTGTAGACAGGAGGGTGTTGACATGTTACTGGCCGGACTGTCGAGAAGTCCGGGTGAACGTGACGGAAGTTCGTGAAGTGTTTGTGACATCCTGTGGACTTAACCGGGTGATTGTCTTCGGGGACCCTGCCATGATAAAGATTCGAGATCTTCGTGGTCGTATTTGTGGTAAGTGCAAATTATGCATTTTTACAAAATTTAAAACGCATGTAAATTAGATTTCGACTCCAACACCCCCCCCCCTTTTTTTTGGGAACAGTAAATCCTGAATCCGCCACATAAAGAAGTATCATTTCAAAACCAGTCCCCCGTCAACACTTTACAAGTGGCTTATGCTACGTCACGTGGTATTATTGATTTTTCTGCTAAAGATGTGTGCACATGTGTAAATCGACCCCTTTCTTATTACGGTAGTTCCTGAATATAACATATGAAGGCCACAGTGTGTTGCTGAATGATCCTTTTTTATTTTTTTAAATAATATATAGTAATCGGTTGTAGGTATTATATAAAAAAAAGTTGTAATCAAGTAACCTCCACACTGAATAGTCGCATAACACAAACGTGTGGCTCAATTGCTAAGCCACGCGATATTATTGATTTCTTTTTTTTTTTTTTTTTGCTTAAAAGGGGTGTGCGTGTAAACCCTGTAATTCCCGAATCCACCACATGAAGATGAGACTTTGCAATGAAATTATGAACTATATTTTTTATTTCAAATAAATGAAACGGTAGCAAGCTACCCCGACACGTGACACCGTGAAGTGTGTGTGTCTTGTGTTACGTCATATTTCTGTTCAAAGACACACATTAACACCCCTCTTCTTTTAAACATAAAGTAAACTGTAGTATGTGTCATTATAATAATCTGTTGTTTTTTCAAGGATAATGTTTTTAGTTCATAATTTTTTTATAGAGGCAACATTCAGTCCTTCACCACCTAAGCATAGTGATACCACGATCGGACAATCAGGTATACATACCCTCCAAATTTATTATTAAAAAGTATCGATCATGGTTGCTACATATGTGACATTGTTATATATGTAGTGTGTAGTAGTAGTAATAGTAGTACCCTAGTACTATTGTAAAAGAATCCTTTTATTTATTTTTAAAATGTAAATTAATTGAAAGACATGTAGTATATGTGTGTGATTAAGAAAAACTGTAGTTTAAAATAATATCTCACACGTTTAATAATATTATAATTGTTTTTTCATAGAGACATCAGAGACTACGCCATTGATCACTAAACCCACACTTCTGTCTACAGCTCAAGCAGGTATGAATGAAAAGCCACGTGATCTAGGAGGTCAGCTTTTTCCCAGAGGCGTGACTTATGCTACATCACGTGACATTATTGATAAATTCCCTCCTCAGTAGTAATGTACTGTAAACATTCCTTTGATTTCGGTTTTTAAAGAAATGCAAAAATAAGCAAATAAATAAAATAATTGTATATGTCCAATAACATGTTGTTTTACAATGGTAAGATTTAATGAGTAATAGTTTTTTTTATAGAGACAACTATGCTGACCAAGTCCGGACAAACAGGTATATACGTTTGAATTAATATCGTTAATTACTTGACTTTTGTTCTATCTGTAGAAGTGGTAATGTAAACAATCTTTTTATTTATTTTTTAAATAAATTAATTGAAAGACATGTAGTATATGTGTGTGATTAAGATAAACTGTAGTTTAAAATAATACTCGCATGTTTAATAATATTATAATTGTTTTTTTTTTCAGAGACACCAGAGACTACGCCATTGATCACTAAACCCACACTTCTGTCTACAACTAGTCAAGCAGGTATGAATGAAAAGCCACGTGATATAGGAGGTCAGCTTTTTCCCAGAGGCGTGACTTATGCTACATCACGTGACATTATTGATAAATTCCCTCCTCAGTAGTAATGTACTGTAAACATTCCTTTGATTTCGGTTTTTTAAAGAAATGCAAAAATAAACAAATAAATAAATAAAATAATTGTATATGTCCAATAACATGTTGTTTTACAATGGTAAGATTTAATGAGTAATAGTTTTTTTTATAGAGACAACTATGCTGACCAAGTCCGGACAAACAGGTATATACGTTTGAATTATTATCATTAATTACTTGACTTTTGTCCTATCTGTAGAAGTGGAAATGTAAACAATCTTTTTATTTATTTTTTAAAATGTAAATTAATTGAAAGACATGTAGACTGTAGTTTGAAAATAATATCTCTCTGATATTTAATAATATTATAATTGTTTTTTTACATAGAGACATCATCATCAGCCACGTCAATAATCACTCAACCTGTGTCGACAGCTAATGAAGCAGGTATGAATGAAAAGCCTCATGATCTAGGAGGTCAGCTTGACTTATGCTACGTCGCGTGACATTTTGTAGTAAAAGTTGTAGTAAAAGTGTAATTATAATAAACTGTTCATGATCCTTAATTTTTTTAGAAACAACATCAACCGTAACAACAGCAGGAATCACTGTTAAAACAGGTAAATACTTTTAAATGAATTACTAGTAACTGATTTTAGTTACTGATTATCCACAAAATGAGATGGTATGTGAATCGCTAAGTGTTGAAAGTAACCATTGAAAGTAATTATGGATTATAAATACTTTAGATTTAACTTTGAAGAACGATAATAATTATAGAGCAACGTTGACATATTGAAATCTTACATTTTAATTTTTTTTAGAATCAGGACAGGAAATTCTGAATAAACTGTTGGCGAAGTTAAATAAACCGTTGGAAGATGGGGAGACACTCTCAGATAAAGCTCTTGGTAATAATGTGGTCAATTGTATTACATTGGGTGTCTGTATTTTGATATTAATTTGTATTTTGTTATTCAGTAGAAAACAATGTCATTTTAAGCGTAAGAAGTCTAATAAAAAAGTGAATCATATTTATAAGCCAAATAATTACAGGCAATCTTTCCAGTTTGATTTGGAAAACGAAGAAGAAGAAGATATAATATAAAGACTACCTAAAAATTTATAAGAATATTAATAATTATACTTCAGTTGATTTTTTATAGGGCTCTTAGCATGGGCGGTTGCAACCACCTTTGCGGTTGCAATTCTGCTGTTAAAAAAGTGGCTTAAGAAAAAGTGTGAGAACTGTGTGAGAGAGGATGATGATGTGCCTACACCACCCCCCCAATCCATTGATGATGAACACTCTTCCTCCTCCTCCACATCCCCTGATCCTGACCTATCTACCATTCACCCCTCCACCCCAACCACCATTCACAATGATGATGATGATGATGATCAGACCACTTTTAATGATGATGATGGCATCAACCCGCCTCCAAGAACCAGTACCCCTCCATCCCCCAATGAAAGCCGAAGACCCCTGATCACTCCCCTATCCTCTGTCACCACCTCCCCAGATGTTGAGGAAGAAGATGAATGCGTAGCTCGAAACACTAGGTCCAAGCGACAACTGAAATTTTAGGTCTTGTTAACGAAAGCAAAACTTTACATGTAAATGATAGTGGTTTTTATGTTTGATTTTTACATTGAGATTCGGTTTTTAATAAACTTTTTACAAAATTGAAAGTCAGTTTTTTAAATAACTCTTTGATTCATTAAAATTTCAGTTGTTTTTAATATTTGACTTTTTACAATATTGAGATTAGAAATCCAGTTGTTTTATTCTAGAGTGGGTAGAGATCAAGTGAGTTGTCTTTCTTGATTTGAAAGTATTTTATTGTATATTTTTTACCGAACTGTTTAGAGGTAATTTGCTGTTGTTTTCAACGCAAAAAAAGGTCACAACATAATTTTGTTGCTCTCTTTGTCATAAGAATGTCTGCAAACATTTTAATTGATTTTTTTTTACCAAAAAATGTTCTCAGATATTTTTGAGGAGTTTTGGTTTTTTTTGACAAAAAATGTCTTTAGGTATTTTTGTAGTTTTGACTAATTTTTTTTGTTGAAAGAAAATGTCTTAGTTAGATTGTGAGGTTTTATTGTCATTTGCTTACATGCTGTTAAATTTTTTTCATAAAAAATGTCTTAAGGTGTTTTTATACATTTTTGACTGTAAATTTTTTTTGTTGATTTTGTTGAAAGAAAATGTCTTAGTTAGATTGTGAGTTTTTCATAGTCATTTGCTTAAATGCTGTTAAATTTTTTTTATAAAAAATGTCTTAAGGTGTTTTTATACATTTTTAACTGTAATTTTTTTTTTGATTTTGTTGAAAAAAATGTCTTAGTTAGATTGTGAGTTTTTCATTGTCATTTGCTTAAATGCTGTTAATTTTTTTTTTAAATAAAAAATGTCTTAAGGTGTTTTTATATATTTTTGACTGTAAATTTTTTTGTTGAAAGAAAATGTCTCAGAGTGTGAGTTTTTCATTGTCATTTGTTTACATGCTGTTAAATACTATAATTAAAAACAAGTGTTCTTATGATTGTTGTTGTTGTTATTTATGAATATATATATTTTAATGTGACAAAAAGATGGGTTTCTACAACATGAAATTGATGTTTTTTAAAAATGTAATTTGAAGGTATGGCACAAGACAGTTTACTAAAAGAAATCCTTGACACCTTGGAGGATCCGGACACCGTGCAGTTATTTGCAACAGCTAATGGTTTAGTCGGTGATGCCGAGGTCGAGAACCGATTAAGGGAACTCCAATGGGATAAGCACATTGACAATTTATGGCAGGAGGTTCTCTCTGATATGGAGTCTCCTCCTAAAAAAAAGTGTCATTCTCTCAATGATGGCAATCAACCTTCTACAAGTAGGCAGGTGGGGGGCGGTGGGGAAAGTTCCGATTCTAAGGACACATTAGCAAAACCTTACTATATATGGAAGAGAGATACCAGGACCTTCAAGAAAAATCTAGCTCGCGACACCACGTTCAAGGTCAAATTCAATGAACAGTGGAGGGGGGATAAATTAATAGATATCCAAAACAAATTACACGAGATGTTCGACGACCTGTTGTCCCAGGCCAGGGGTCACGATGCGGATTTGGGAAGGGTGGTCCTAAGTCATCCGAGTTTAAACAATCCTATCGTCGTGCCGCTGCAGTCCTGGGAAATTCTGAATGCAGATGTCGTCATGTCTGAGATCACCAAGGTACTCAATTCGAACGAAAGCTTACCCGTAGACGAAAACCTGCTAGTTACCATTGGGTCTATTGATTTGCCTAAAGGGGGAGGTAACCCTAGAAAATTACCCATTACAGCTCTTTTCGGTCCTAAAAATAGTATAGAAAGGAAAAAATCACTTTTTCACGTACAAAATAATGACAATTTATGTATGGCCATTTCCATCGGTCTGTGTTTTCTAAAAACGTGTGAGAAAGTAGATACGGAAACATGGAACAATTTAGTGGGGAATGATCCTGGAACGATGCTAGATCACGCCCTCAAACACCGCACTGTTTCTCAAACATATTATGACAATATCTTGAAAACGTCGAGACAAAAAATGCAAAGCGAGTTGGCGATGTGGCTGTGTGAAAAGGCCGGTGTGCCCAATGACAGGTATTTAGGTCTGAATGATATCGAACCTTTCGAAAATTTACTTGATGTCTCAATCAACGTCGTGTCCTCTGCCGTTGGAAACAAATTTGTCAGGGTCACAGAGGATCAGGGTAAGCCGCGTCTCTATTTGTATCACGTGGATTCGGAACAGGAAAAACACTGGCATGGAATTGCTAGGATACAAGGATTTTTTAAGGCGTCGTATTTTTGCCATTCTTGTTTAAAACCGTATAAAAATAAATCAAAACACTCTTGTGCCACCTCTTGTGAAGTATGTTTACATGACAACTGCCCAGAAACAGACGTCCAAATGGGTTGTCGTTCCTGTGGTCGGATCTGTCGGTCAAGGACGTGTTTTGAAAGACACAAACAACAAAGAGTTGTCAAGAAAGAGAGTTATCCCCCCGCCTGTGACGTGTTTTACCAATGTAAAAAATGTAGAGTCACTCTGGAACGTGCTAAGCGCTCTCCCCATTTACACATTTGTCAAGAATGGCAGTGCCCCAACTGTCGGGAATATCAAACCGGGGAACACAATTGTTATCAAAAATCGTTTGGATCTGAAATTGAAAAGAGAAACAAGAAATTTATTTTCTATGATTTTGAAACCCGTCAAGATGACATTTTTCGTTGCGAGAAAGGATATAGACCGTCTTGCATCAGTTGTCGCCATTGTGTTAAAGAAGAACGCCAGTGCTCAAACTGTAGACTCTGTCATCACTGTCGTGACCCATCCTGTGGTCTGCAACAGCACAAAGTAAATTTTGCTGTACTACAGACCACTTGTCACCAATGCGAAAAAGAGGAACTAGTGGAGGGTGCTACCTGTCATTATTGTGGAACACGTTGTGGAAAATGTTCCCGCACCCGAAAAGGAGAATATTTGTATTCCCCTTGTACCGACACTTGTTGGAAAAGGGAACTCGTATTTTCTGGTGACAGCGCTGCCGATCAATTTTGTGCTTACATCACCAGTAAACACTGTAGAGACTCGATTTTAGTTGCACACAATGCCAAAAGTTTCGACTTGTACCCCGTTTTAGAAGTTCTCATCGACCGTCACTCCATTCGACCGAACAAGATCATATATAACGGTTCGAAAATCATGTACATGCACATTGCCCAAAAACTGAATTTAACTTTTGTGGATTCTCTGAATTTCCTTCCCATGAAACTTGCTAAAATACCAGAAGCCTTTGGACTGAAGGAACTCTGTAAAGGATACTTTCCTCATTTTTTTAATACTAAAACCCATCAAAATTACGTGGGGCCGTATCCAGGATTAAAGTATTATGGGTACGATTTCATGTCGACTGGGGAGCGGAAAAAGCTTGCAGAATGGCACGCAACGAAACAGAGCGAAACCTTTAACTTTCGAGAAGAAATGTTGCAATATTGTCGCTCAGATGTTGACATACTGAGACGGGGCTGTCTGGAATTTAGAAATTTAATGATTAAGGTGACGACTATCACAGAAAACATTGTCCAAGCAGACGGAACCGTTAAGAAAAGAACCACGTTTGGAATCGACCCATTTGATTACGTCACCATTGCAAGCGTGTGCATGGGGATATTCAAGTCTCTATTTTTGAAGGGAAAATACAAGATAGAAATCACCAAAGACGGGGAGTCTGATTGGTATGACATCGAATATTTGGAGGGACTAGAAGTGGTCAATATCGATGATTCCTGGACGTCCTTAGTCGACTTAAAAAATGACGAAAATGTGCAGATAGGAGGACGACATTTCAAGAGTCCTATAGCAGTAGTACCTTCTCAAGGTTATACGAAACGCGACAATCACAGTAAGATTTCCATCCAGTGGTTAGAATGGTTAATAGAAAAAAGTCGTCAGCGGGGAACCCCTCTACATATTTCTCACGCTCTCAATGGAGGTGAATACCAAGTTCCTGGCACCAATTATAGATGTGACGGATTTGTTCAGAACCCCAAAGAAAAAGGAACTATTTACGAATTTTATGGTAAGACTTGACCATAGAGTTCACTTTTTAGATCTAACATTTGCCCCCTTTCCCCCAAAACTGGAGGGGGGCGGGGGGCGGCGTATCTTGACTTAACTACGAATACATGAGGGTTTAAATGTTTTTTTTGTATCTATATAGGTTGTGTGTTCCACGGTTGTCCCTCCTGTTACCCAGAAGACCGGAATAACATCAAACATCCTTCCACCAATCAGACAATCAACGAATTATACAATATGACTATAAACAGAGAAAAAGAACTTAAAAATTTGGGATACAAGTTGGTTACCATATGGGAGCATCAATTTAAATATCAGCTGGACAAGAATGTGGCATTACAACAATTCGTGTCGACATTAGATCTTCAAGACAGACTTGACCCACGTGACAGTTTTTTTGGTGGTAGAACCAATGCCATCAAACTACATTACAAAGCTGCAGAAGACGAAACCATACAGTATTACGACTTTACTAGTCTCTATCCATGGACCAACAAGTATTGTCGCTACCCTGTTGGCCATCCTACCATCGTCACAGACAATTTTCAGGACTTGTCACAATACTTTGGACTTGCCAAAATTAAAATTCTCCCTCCCAGAAAACTTTATCATCCTGTGCTTCCTTATAATTCGAACGGAAAATTGAAATTTCCACTATGTAGAACTTGTGCGGACAAGGAAAATCAAAATGAATGTACATGTTCTGTAGAAGAGAGAGCCATTACGGGCACATGGTGTACTCCCGAAATTCAAATGGCAACGTCAAAAGGGTACAAAATATTAAACATTTATGAAGTCTATCATTTTACAGAGTCGTCAAAATACGACGTCGAGTCGTGTGAGGGAGGATTGTTCGCTCAGTATGTGAACATGTTCTTAAAAATTAAACAGGAGGCTTCGGGATTTCCGACCGAATGCGTTACGGAAGAAGCCAAATGGAAATACATAAGGGAATACCAAGAAAGAGAGGGTATACAATTAGACTATGATAAAATTAAAAAAAATCCGGGTTTGCGATGTTTAGCAAAACTATGTTTAAATAGCTTTTGGGGTAAATTTGGTCAGAGGTTAGGCATGCAACAGTCTATGTTCATTCACGGGTCAGAAGCTGAAAAATTTTTTCAGATGCTTTCAGATCCAACGAAAATACCACACAATTTTCACATTGTTTCAAGAGACATACTTCATTTAGAATGGAGTAACAACCCTTTGTTTACTCAATTCGATAACAAAACCAATATATTCTTAGCCTCTTTTACCACCATGTGGGCTAGACTGAAATTATACAGTGTTCTCGACGAATTAAACGAAAATGTGTTGTATTTTGATACAGACAGTGTCATCTTCAAGACTAAAAAGTCGGATGATTTGAGTTATCTACCCATCGGTAATTATTTGGGAGAGTTAACAAACGAGATTTCCCCACAAGATGGTTACATTGTTGAATTTGTGTCAGGGGGTCCTAAGAATTATGCTTACCGTACGCTGTCGGGAAAAGAAGAATGTAAAGTCAGGGGATTTACACTGAACTGGGCTAACTCGAAACTGATTAATTTCGATGCTATTAAATCGATTATCTGTACCTCACACGGCCGACAAATCGAAATAGTCAACCCTTGTAAAATATCGAGGGACAGTAGAAAGAGAAAATTGTTAAACAGAGTAGAAACTAAAAATTACAAAATGGTTTACACCAAAAGGAGAATTCTTCCTAATTTAGACACGTTGCCATTTGGATTTTAATCATTAATGTAAAAAAAACTCAGTTTGTTATGTTATTTTTTTTATTAATTATAATCACAAATAAATGATTAACAAGACATTTTTGTTCATTGTTATTTGTCAATATGTTAGCCAAGGTGTAGTTTTTTTCTTCCGTCGAACATTAGAAATTCCAGGAGGTCTTCCGGCTTTTTTCTTCTTACTCACATAGCCAGTACCATTTTGTATCAAATTGGTTTTATCCATAAGGTCATTGACATTTTGTCCTTGATCTTCAGGGATGATTTCTTGTGCCGAAATAGCTTGAGTCGACTGATCTTTGGCTTGGTCCAATTTTTGAAGTAGATGTTCATATTTAAGTTTCGGTACAACTATCATTTCCCTCGCCATTTGCCTTTGAAATGTTGCACAATAGGTCTTAGTAGGAGTGACACTAAAGAAATATGTTTCAATAAAATCCGACGTTTCTCTCGGTTGCTGACTTCTCTGGATCCAAGGGATCGAATGTACGATTCGTAAGGTTTCAGTTGGTTTATATACTTTTTGGGCAAAGGGCAAGTTCCAGTATAAATGTTAAGTGCTATTTCACTAAGCACATCATACTGTTCACTGGTCAAGGTTTTGACGATTACTTTTTGTTGTGTATTGTCCGCATACACGAGAAATTTTAAAAGAGCCTCGTGTTTCTTTATTGTTTGCTTCATAATTGAATACTGAGACGAGAATATGTAATCGTACTTATTTATATAGGTTGGTAAATGATCATCTCTTCGCCTGGGAAAATACGAGACCTTAGCTGATACTCTCGGTTTTGTGTTGGTTCAAGACAAACATGCAAGTAACCAAAATTGGGTCGAGTTGCGGATTCGTATGCCGCTTTAAAAAAGGGAACCTGTCCTGGTAATATTTGTGATCCAAAAGTGATGGCCTGTTTAGAATCACGGTAATTCTTAAACAAAATTACATTAAGGCAATTCAATGAAATGGTCCTTGCATATTTCCCCGGAGGATATAAGTTCTGGGACAGCATCACTGTAGTCACGTTTCTATGATGAGATGTCACTGTGAACAGATGTACACAATCTTGAGATTGTGCGACTTGTAACATGAGATCATCCAGCACCACTATGGTGTGATTGACCCCCTCTGTATACTGCTCAATGTCTTCTTTAGAAGGCAAACCTTTGTGTAATGAAAAGTTTGGTATTGTCTGCACCATTTCCTCAAACATAGGTTGATGTTCAGAATAAGCATAAATTATTCTATCTACAGGCGTGGTAAACATTCCATTTGCATTTTGTAAAAGTGTTTTAGTAAAATGTGTTTTCCCACTTTGTGTACTGCCACATATTAAAATGATGGTGGGTGTTGAAAACGGTAGCAAGGAACGAGTGTTCCACCATTCATTCATACTGTCTGTGTCCATGTTTCTCAGTCACCAGACTTCCTCAAAATGAAGTTTTGAGTAATGTCATATATATATATATATAAAATAAATTACTCCCGTATATACTTTTCATGAATTTTTAATGATACATAAAATATTCATGCATAAAACTTTTTACAAAACCATCATTGAATTGAATGTCACTAGAAAATAAATTATACACACGATTTAATGACTTTTTGAAACACAATCTTGCAATTAAGAATACCAATACATAAAGTCCGCACAAATCAGAATAACGTGGTTGTAGTTGTACGGATTTGAAATGACAGTATACACTGTTTTTAATAAGAAAGTTTTGAATATCTTGATTGTAATCAGCTGGTGATTTTCCAAGGCTGTCGAAAAACTCTGCTTGCAATGGACTGTACATTAATATTGCCACCCAGTGTTCTCCGGGAAATGGTAAAGGTTGTGTATTGACGATGAAGGCGCTTGGAAATTCTGTAATCATTTGAGGCAGTGTATTACTAGCAAATACACCTTTTACAAATTTTCTTAAGCAAGGATCTGTTTTCACCATATTTAACAGTTGTGATGAATTCATGGTTGAATGTAGTTGATGTCACGTGATTTGTCGACCTCAAGTAAAGATGAAAATGTTGCAAATACTACAACATTGGCGGCTTTGGTTGTTGCTTGTTTGAATTTCAACTCCAGTCTGGTGTTTCCCCTACGAATTAGGTTTAAATACTCTTCTCCAAACCCACACGGATCTACCGTGAATACAAAAAGCGAGTATCCACTTCCAAAATTATCACGAGTGATAATCAGTCCAGCGTCGTTGTTCCATTTCCCAGAGGCTTCAAATAAGCGAGCATAGGCAGCTGAATAATGTCCTGCCGTGAAGTCTGTTTTCAGTGGTCTTCCGGGAACGCTTTCTCCGTTGACGTATACCCCGACATCTGATAATCCCATATGCTCAAAGTTAAATGGGTTACTTGTGTAATCCCCATTCACAGCTTTCTGGTCGACCAGAGCCACCACGATGCGATCGGGTACTGCCTGTGGAAATATATTGTCCCAGTAAAACTCGGTAGATCCTTTGGGTATGGTATTCATTTTCAGCTCATTTCTTGATATGGTATACTTCACAGGGGTGGATTCAATCTGTTTACTGTGGTTGAGTAAAACACCTGGATCTACCCGCACTTTGGCCACTTTATACACAACGTCTTGTAATTCTAATTTGTATGCCGGAGTACTATTGGCAGACATGATGACAAAAGGGGCACTGGACCTAAACAGTTTGATGTAGATGTCTACTCCGTTTATTAGATATTTATCTATATCAAAGATATCTTCCATTAGGTTTCCTTCCAGCTCAAAAACTTTACTTTGCTGAGTATAACTATACCGCAGGACCAGACCGGCATTGCCTCCATTGTATGCGTTCGCATCTTCAAGATTTCCCTCTTCTTTAAAAAACAGCTCAGATTGTTTTTGTGAATTGAGTTCATCTTTCCCGCTAAACAAAATTGTTTTGAGGTAAGCCTTCCACGGGTAGTTATTGGTATTGAAAGAGACTAACTTGTTGTTCAAGTAGACATCCATCTGGGAGAACATACTTTGCAGGGGTAAGTTTACGATACCAGTTTTTTCGTTTGCTGCCATTGTCGATCCATCTGCTTTCAAAATTCGGGCTTTTACATACAATTTACTTCGTTTTAAATCAATGTATTCTGCTCCTGAGCCTGATACTACGATTTCGATGGGTGTGTCAGATACACCTATGCTAGAAATTGGTCTTGCTTCTGTAAAATATACTTTCTCGACTGCTACTTGGTTTGTGGGGGATGCAAAAAGAGAGAGTTCCATTGGTTGAGCTATGTCTTTATTATCACTGCTTAAAAATGCCATTTTTACTGTTTAAAGACACTTCTGTAACTGTCAATGTTAAATTCTTTCTTTTTTCTCGACTGTGTTTTCTTGCGTGGCGCTCGTCGTTGTTTCTTAACAGTCTTCTTTTTCTTCACTGCTGAGGCCTTTCTTTGTTTTGCAGATTTAGTTGACTGTTTTTTCCTCGGATTTCGAGATGTTGTTGGCTTCAATTTCTTTGAAGGAATGACAGAAGATTGTGAATGTGGCCTTTTTATACTCCCCTGTACTTTGACAAATGGAACCCCCTCTTTAACGTCCTTGGCATGTTCCACTTTAGCTCTTTCCTCCACAGCAGCTACTGGAGTCACTTGAGTGCTGTTTTCTACAGGTTCTAACTGCGAGTGAGGCCTCAGCGGGATGACGTAAGACTTGTAACTTCTCACACCTCTCCCAATTTGTTTTGGCTTGTATTTGTAAGGGTTGAATTTTTTCTCTGCCATGTTCTTGTAGAAAGCTTCCCATATTCTGGGATCACTCACGTACGTTTGGCTATTCATCATAAAACGTATGGAAACTTCTTGAAATGAAGTGTTACAGTCACCGGTCCGTTTAAGAATGAAACTAAGTTTCCTTCTCTGTCTGTTATATATATAGCGATCTGCTGTAATTGGCTAATTTTAACTGGAATGTAATAAGGTAGTGTGTAAGTGATACTTTCTGGTTTCTCACCTAGGTATACGCGTCTTAGAAGGGGTGCCTCTTTTCCCCCAATTATCGTTTCCTCACAAATATCACAACACACAAACAACTCTGATTTCTTCTTAGATGACAACCAACTCTCTGTAGAAAATTCTGTCAGGGCAACAGTCCAATATCCGTCAAATTGAATCTGTTTATTTAATTGAACTCGAAAGCAATTGGGTTTATTTTCAAAATATTCAGAGCTGTCCGTAGACGTCAACACCATTCGAACACTCATTTTGAATGAGAGAAATTGCTAAAAAATGATGGCTTTTATTGTTTTTCCAGAGAGCTCTCCGGAATCCATGAATTAAATTTTTTTGGCCATCCTTCCCATTTTACATACACCTCTTTGGCTTTACCACGACGTCTTCTTTTAAGAATTTTCTCCACTCTATAAGAAACGTCTTCTGACTTTATGACTTTTTGAAGCTCAGGCTCATAGAATGTACCTTCTATAGGGTCGTCTGCTAAATCTTTTACCTTGTACACAGGTAATTGACCGCGTTTGTATCTTTCACTCACTTTAAAAAACTCTTCTGTCCATTTCTGTTGGTAGTCTCTTTGAAAAGGGTATTTTAGTTGTGATATTCTGACATTATCTCCAATTTTTAATTTGAAAAAGGGTTTCACTCTTTTTTTCACTTTTGTTTTGCTTGATTCATTAGACTGGTTCAGATCGTTTTTGGTCAGATCTAGTTTTGTTTTCCCCGAAAGATAAGACTCGAGTCTTATTTCATCGACATTTTCTTGGTTCACATTGGTTGGAGCATTCCCACCTAATGATCTGTGAGGTCTATTGTTGTAACTGTTTACCAAGTCTTGCAAAACATTCACAAAACGGTAGGTTCGATTCTTCATGAAATAACGATACATTAGGTTCTTCATGGTTCGAATTACCCTCTCGGCATAATTTGCTTTTGTTTCATTTTGAGTGTATATGACGTTTATTCCCTCTTTTTTCAGAAATGTCTTTACCCAACGATTTTTAAATTCGCTACCCTTATCTGTTCTAAGGGTGTTAGGTTTTCGTCCTTTTTGGAAAACTGATTTTAAACCATCAACAATGTTCTGATGATGTTTATTTTGTAAGGGGACTATAAATAAATATCGACTAAATATATCAATAAGCACTAATAAGAATTTAAATCCATCATTATGGGATGCAATGTTTGAAACGTCTGCCAAGTCACCATCCCACATAGAGTCAATGGTGTTCACTATCACCTTTGAACGCGGAAATGTTTTACGAATAGGTTTATACAGACTATAAGAATCTTCATTGTTTAAAAACTGTCTTATTCTCCGTCTACCAATCTTGTATTTGCCTTCCTGTTTAACAGCTTGATATAATTTTTCAGGCCCTGCATAGGCCCCCGATTTACCGGGGGTGTAGTAGAGCTCTCTTAAGTAATCCGTATAGTCTGGCATACTGAAACATAATAATGATCTCTCTCTTCGGTTGTAACATTTTATATCATTGTAAAAAAATACAAGGTATATTTTGAACTATTTTATTTTGATATTGTTAGAATGAAATAGTAACATAAAAGATAGATACACAATAAATAATAAATAAATGTTACACCCATATCATTAATTATGTTGGATTAGTGTTCATTGTCATTCAAGATCATTTTCAATGGTTTCCCTGTCTTGTAAATCACCGGCGTTACATTCCATTGATATATTGTCTTGTGGATCGTAGCCAAAGGGGGTACATTCCGGGCAGCTTAACATTCCAAGCTGATTTTGATGAGACTCGCTGAGCATGCAAAGTTCAATGTCTTTTAGTTCTGGAACACATTCATGCATCTCCCCGATGACATCGATAAGTCTGGCAAATTTGTTTCTGTTTAGAGTTACACCTTTCCTTGTAGGTATAGGTTCTTGAACATTGTCTGGCTTCCAAAAGTGTCTTATGTCCACTGTCGGATAGCCTGGTGATAACGAAACGAACACACCTCCACCAACATGCCACTGTGCTTCTTCATCCTCTTTTCCAGTATTGTCAATGTAGTCTTGAATATCTGGTAAGAGAGATTCAAACTTTAACCAACGGGCTAAAGGAAAGGTAACTCCCTTCTTGGTGGCAATGAAACGACCATGCGATTCTGTGAAATGACGGATGTGGACGTAAATCTCCCCCTTAAAAGGCATGACGGTGAGGAATAGGTCATTAAAGTCATCCAAACTTATCCTACATCTTGGCTCCTGAGACTGTTGATGATCGACTTTCTTTGATTGATTTCTGGAACCTCCTCTTTCTTTAGTATTAACGACTAATGATCTTGCCATGTCCAGCTTCTTTTCGTACTCAGACTTTGTGTCATCATCCTTATTCATTAGGAGTCGGGATAAGTCAGCTTGATTGGCTTTCATTAATGCCATTCTAAGTCCCATAAAAGCTCTCGAACCTCGACGTAAAATGAAGCTGATCAATTTTCTGTTTTTGTCATAGCTGGTTTTCTCAGCGTCTATCTGTTGTCTCATTTCATCGGTAATTATGTTTGAGGCGTAAAGATGTCCCGCAACAGGAACAGCCATCATCTTCTTCACCAATGTCGAGTAGTTTGCCTTAATCAAGTCTTGATGTTTTTGCTCCATTTCTGCTGCTGACAAGGATCTCACAAGGAACAAAAAAAGCAGAGTTGTATCCTGTCTGAGATTTGCTCAGAACTGATGAAACTTTTTGAAATTTTCAAAGTTTATATATGATTCAAGTCACGTGGCTATTGACTGTAGAATCATGTCTGTAAAATGAACCAATTGTAGAATTTTTGACTGTAGAACGCACCGACTGTAGAATGCACTTCCTGTGGAAATCTGTTGACTGTAGAACGCACTGACTGTAGAACAATTGACTGTGACCTCTTGATTGTACAAATGTCTGTTTACATACTTTGTAAAATTAACTTGTTTTTTTTCTTAATCAATAGGCACATTTGACAGTTATTTTTGCACAACAAAGTTCTTTCGGTTGGTTTTTATGAATTTACGAGTTTTTTGAAGCGTCTCAAGTAATTCCTTTGTAGTCTTGTACAGTGTTTTTCCAAAATAATAAGCACATGCGTGGCGTGTTTCTTTTTTCCTCATTGTTGCAGAGAGCTGCACGTCCATTCCCTCTGTTTTCCTTTTAAGATCATTCACTAACTTCGTTAGTTTTTTCCACTTTGATAATGGTATGTTTAGATTCTCTTTTTTAAAAGTCTTAAGTTTCCCTTTAATGGTAAGTGCCAGTTTCTGGCATTGCATCAGGTACATTAAGATCCACACTAGATCTTCTTCTTCTCTTCTTGTTAAAACGAGAAAACAGTCGTTCAAGCGTCGAATCCATTGGAAAGATATTCTCCTCAGCATTCTCTCTACTACAAGACCATCCATTTTCACAGTATAAAACACTGTATGCTGACTTAACACACTGGCACTTATTTATACATATTAGGCGAAAATGGGAGACACTCCCTTTTTCCTATTTTTCGTTCTTTTGACTGTAAAGTGTACATTGTTTGAACTTCTGAAGAAGCACAGGTAATAAAATATTTTCCGTTTGTTGAACTCTCCTCTTAAAATGAGCTCTATCTATGGCAAATTCCATCCAAATCCCCTTTCGATCTTCATATGGAATTAAAATTACTTGTACATGATCATTAAATTTAAGTTTTTTTATGCATCCACTCCCTCGTTGAATTTTTAACATAGCTATATTTTATCAGGAATGTGGGAAGTATTTCTTTGGCATAATTCGACGTTTTAGTAGGTATTCTTCAGATCCCCAGCAGTCTGCAATGTCATAACCATTTTTCATTTTTTCCTTAAAATCAGCAATGCAATCCTCTTTTTTGTCAAACCATTGACTTTCTTGCAATGTCCATTTGTTCTCATTTCTTCTTATAGCACTCCAGGCTAAAATTTTCCACTTGTACTGCTTTTCCTGAGTATTCATCGTCATAACAAAAACAAATTAAATGTTTGTGGTATTTATTGCTTTTTTTCTGTATTTGACTGTGAAAAAACCTTGTGAACACACTTTGACACACTAAACTGTGAAATGCTTGATCTTGACTGTAATGACCTCAATGACTGTAGACGCACTTGGTGCACTTAAATATCCTCAGCGACTGTAGACTCACTCTTGACTGTGAACTACCTCGTGAGGTCATTGACTGTAGACTCACTCTTTGCACTTAGATACCTATGACGTCATTGACTGTAGACTCACCCCTTGACTGTGACCCATATTATGACCTATGTGGGCGGGGTCTGGAAAACCCCATGACGTCATCGTGACTGTATACTGACTGTACTCTGTCCCCCTTACTACTAATACATCAAGTCACCGTTATCAGTATCACTTGTAGATTGAGACTGGACTTCCAGTTCCACCCACGGGAATCTTTCTCTCCAACTCTCTTGAAACTTTCTTTTTCTTTTGGTATGATCATTCTTTTCACCTTTATTAATACTTCCGTTATCTGACACACTACTGACCTTTTTCCTCTTATTCCCGTCAGAACTTTTGATAATGCGAACAACGTTGTTTGCTTACTCAATTTTGATCAATGTGATTAAAATGCTTTATCGCGTTTATTTATTTGCTTGCTTTCAAACGCTTTGGTGATAAAAACAAATTAAACTAGTTCTCAGTCAAAAGAAACCAGTCTCCAAATTAAGAAAACGAAAGTAAACTGACGAGATTTTTTTCCCGGTCTGCTAGTCCGACGGATTATCGTTACTTATAAATTAGCTAGCCCGAGTCTTAAAATGACTAGCCCCGGGCGTCGGGCTACCGTACATTTCAACCCCTGATAAAGCATATTTACATCAGGTAAAATAATACAGGCACGTAGCATCAGGAGGGCCGCCCCTTCCACATTTTTCCCAAACATTGAAAAGGCGCACCCTTGCCCCCTCTTCCATCTTTTTTTGCAGTATGGTACGTCAAATCATCCCACGGGAATGTATTATAATATAAAATATGTTTGTCGGAAGTTGTAATCCCTCCTTCAAAGAAATGAAAATGTTGAGTTTGGACAGCCCCTTTTTCCTTTTCTTTTCTTTCTTTATTTATTTATCTCCATTTTTGGCTGCCTTATTAGACTTGTTTAAGCCTCTATGTTTTAGTGCTCTCTTCTATACTTTTTGGTAATGTCACACATAGAGACTTGTAAACTCTGTAAATTCATCGACCAGACTATGGTCGATAACGGGATCATATTACAGCACTGCAGTGTGCTACTGGAGAATCGCTGATAAGTTGAAGGTGATGAATGGTTATTTGGGATTTCCTAAATGTTACATAGCTGGACAAATTTTACACACTTTTAAGTTTTGTTTGTTGTTTAACGTCCCTCGAGAGAATCTTTCACTCATATGGAGATGCCACCACTTGCCGATGGAGAGCAAATTTTTAACTATACTTGGTACTTAGGACCATTGAACATTGAAGGATATTTTAGTGCCAGCATGTTCTCGGTTGATACGGTCTCATCCGAATGACCGGTCTCCACGTCCCAAAGCGGGATTTGAACCCGTCCGTAAGGATCAACTCCTTACTCCGCAAATCTAGGGTGGACGCTCTACCATTGCGGCATGCGGGCGACAACTTCTGAACACAGAAAAAAATATCTCTAGCAATATCTGATGGATCAAAGCAATTGTCTATAAGTCACTTAAAATTAAACAAGAAAAAAAGTTTAAGAAGCATAATTAAAGAAAAAAGATGTTTTCTTCTGTTCACGTACTGGAAGTGGTAAATCTTTACCATTTGAACTGGTACCTTTTTTGTTCCAAGCATTAGGTTCAACTGATGATAATACAATTGTGAGGGTCATTTTCCCTCTGATTACCATTATTAGAAGTCATGTATTACAAAAGAAAGGATTAAGTGCACATGAACTTTGTGAATTAGGCGTAGAGTTTGTTGATCATACAATAATCTTTGCGACTTCAGAATCAATATTTCAATGTATAAGATAACCCAATCACTAGACTATAAAGACCAGTCACTGTTCAACCCAGTCACACTACTTCATAATTCCACCACACCACATAGCCCAGTTACTGTACTACAGTAAATATACATCATAACCCATGGAAGTATCTTTTTAATGAAGGGTTTTCGTCTCATTGTGCATATATAACATCTTTAAAGAATTCTTAGAGGAGTATGAGTACACATTGTTTTCTGGGTTTCGGTGTTTAAAAAGTGGAAAGTGGTGAAAAATATATTTGGCAAGTTGGAAGTGAAGATGCCTGTATACCAGGTTATTCAGAAACATGTATTTCATTTTTTTAAATATAAAGTTTAAGTTCTCGCATCGTTTCAGTGATTGTATTCCGGTTCTATGTCTCCTTTCTACAAGCAGAAGCATATAAAAAGCACTTGAAAAGAGCGGTATTGATTTTATTCACTGAATAAAATTTTTTTAATCCCAAGATTTTGTATTAATTACTTATCATATTTGAAATTCAAATTCACAAATATGCTTTTCAATGTACTGCAATATAATGTCATAACAATACAATCACCCAGCATTTTGCAGCCAATGGACAAGAGAATTTCGAAATTTATTTAGAAAGCTGTGACTAAACATGGTGTCACGAGCACTCTTAAAAATGAAGCTGCTTATTGAGGTTTTCTCAAAGCAGTCCATTAGAATATTCTACACTGCCACCTAAACACAACAAGAGATTTTTGCCTTCGTTGAAAGACAATTATTACCACATGGTTACACAGTTTCTGAAACTAGGAGAAAGAAGTTTTGGTCAGGTGTAGGAAAAGAATCAATAACATCCTCATGGTGCTTAGTGATTTATAACAAAAATTGATGAGGATACAGGATTAATCCCACAATCCGTTTTATTCTGTATCCACAAGCAGTCTATCACATATATCCGGTCACGGTAGCCTAGAGGTAGGGCTTCGTGATCGGGAGGCCCGGGTTCGATTCTCGTTCGCCGCGCCGCGTCAAACCTAAGACGTAAACGTAGGTAGTGACTGTTCCTTCGCTAAGCGCCCGGCACTAAAAGTGAAATTCGTGGGTCTTTCGGATAATACTTTACAAACCGAGGTCCCTTGTCACGGTAGACGTTGGCACGTTGGTATGTGTACTTTGATAGGTTGCAGGGATTTGCCAACCAATTGACCATAGCATCAAGGAAAAATTATCTAGTTTGATCGACGATAGAGTATCAAAAATTTCTGAGATGAGGTGTCGCATTAAGTCATTCAGCAATAGGGAGGTATCAAAGACAGACTGAAGAAGAAAATCGACGCTTGTTTCATTTGAAAAAATAGCAGAAACTTTATGAATTCTTCTAAGGAATAGACGTGGTATCTTTGACTGTATTATAGATTCCTTACTTCATGAGCCTTTAGCTCAAATGAGCTAAAAAGGAACTGCTGGTTGAGTTTTGCATTTGTTAGGGAATATTTCTTAACATTATATATATATAAAGTATAAGTATATATGTTTTGACTTGTTGACTTGTTGACAACCAATATTTTAACTTTCCAGGTTTTCAAAAGACGACAAAGAGAGCAGCAAATGAGGACAGCGTTTATCTTGATATATCAGGGTATAGATTTTTGTTTCATTTGTACTTGTATCAAAAAGAATGTTGCAAAAAATTACTTGGGGTAAACTGTAAATTCTTGTGTTTATATAACGATTCGTTCAGATTGATTGTATGTTGTTTTAGGTCCCCATCGAGAATTTTTTTACTCATATAGAGACGTCCATTATGCAGGTGTCATAACAGTATTTCACTTGAGGTTCACGTCAAATCATGGCTGACGCAAAATAATTCCTGAATCTTCCCTTCCGATTCGGGCATTTTAACACGAGACTGGAGCTGAATTTTTTTATGAGATGAAAAACAATATGTAAACTTCCTATATTGACTAGATTCATTAAAATTTAGGGCGTGCTGAATTTTCTATATACTGTATTTGAGTGGAGAGTGATTAGGTCCTAGACTTGATTTT